GCCAGCTACGACGAAATCAAGGCTGTGATCAAGAAGGCCTCCGAGACCGATCTGAAGGGCATCTTGGGGTACACGGACGATGACGTGGTGTCGTCGGATTTCATCGGGGATGCTCGGTCGAGCATCTTCGACGCCAAGGCGGGTATTGCCCTGAACGGGAACTTCGTGAAGCTGGTGTCCTGGTACGACAACGAGTGGGGTTACTCCAACCGTGTGGTGGAGTTGATTGAGCATATCTCCAAGGCTTAGATGATTGTGAGGGTGTAGACGAATCAGTGTGTGTGTGTTGTGTGCGTAGGTAGGTAGTAGCTAATTAGTTGAGAGCAGTTATTGCGAGGGCACTCGATTGTGTTTTTCTCTCGTGATTTCTGATTGGCGGAATGAGAGTGAGACTATATGTTGGCTTGTGCGTTTTCTTGCGTCGAATTTGGATAGTTTGTGGCGGGTAGGGAGAAGAGAGAAGGGAGTAGCGAGAGGTATAGGGTGACTTGCAATAAGTCGATGTTTGTTATTCGATCTATTATCTGTGGGAGTGAAACAGATCAAACAAACACGACGCTTAAAAGAGCTTTAGATGCAATAAGTCGATGTTTGTTATTCGATCTATTATCTGTGGGAGTGAAACAGATCAAACAAACACGACGCTTAAAAGAGCTTTAGATGCAATGGTGGGGTGTGTCTGCTTCTCGGAGTTAATGGACCGAATACTTCGGCGATGTAATTGGAGATCGGACGATCTCACGGCGATTTTATTTCGACATAAATTGAGTGTTTTTTATTTTATTTTCAATTCGTTTAACTAGTTTCGCCTGGATTCGAACGCAGGTGTGTTTTCTTTGCGTTTATCTAGTTTCATCTGGATAGATTCGACCTCCGTTGTGTTTTTCAACAGTTGAAAACAAAAGAAAAACGTTTTAGTGTCAGGTTCTGGCTTTGGCATTATAAGTTGAGATCGGACGCCCTCAAGGCGATTATGCTTCGATATTAAATGAGTCTTTCACTTTTTGTTTTTTTTTTCATTTATGGAGTTCCATCTGAATTCACCCTCATGTCTGTTGTTCCCCACAGTTCGTGGGTGTATCGGATTTTTTTTACGTGGTTGGCGGGTAGAGTGGTATAATGGAGAACTGGAGGAGGAATGGGCTGTACGGTATACGCGGGGTTGACACGATTAGATTGAGAAATGGTTTCTCCCCCCCAAAAAAAAAGAAGTGTGGACTTCTGTTTCCAGAATACAGATGAATAATTAACGTTTCCTTCCCCTCCCCCCCTCTCCTTTTCCTTTCTTCCTCCCGGCACCCCCCTCCTCCCACGTTAGGGCGGGTGGGAGGGAGGGACTAGGACGCGGTCACGATTTCTGTGAAAAATCCAGTTCGGGCATCCCTCGAATACAACGCATCCATCCCCACCCGACCCTAAAGCTAGGTCGTATACATTCACGATTTTTCCTCGAAAGCTTTGGGACGACATTCGCGAAATCGAGACCGAATCGGAAGCGCATTTTTCAAACTGAAACCGTAACTGCGCCCTAGTTTTCGAACTGAAACCGTAACTGCGCCCTATGGTCCAATGAATGACGTGGCAAGTATTGAACTGATCGCAACAGAAACGACACTTTTATGTAAGCCAGTTTGGCTTTTCCCTCTTAAAAGTTTTTTTGGTGTCGTGTTTGACATCCGTTAAAAGGGTTGGAACGATACATACAAAGAAGATTAGGTTGGCCCCTGCGCAAGCGTGACAGACTGAAATCGAGAAATGGGCTAAATTTTAGAGAGTTATTTTGCGAGCGGCGATTCCTATAAGCAAGTCGATTTAGACATACACGCGTTGAATAAATATCGCTGAAACGAATGGGCACGCAAATGTCAGAGCAACTGATCTGCTGGGCAGCAGATGCTTTTGTCACAGACGATCAAATTGTGATAAAAATACCAACGAGCTTATCTTTGTTACTACACCCATAAGACTGTTGAAATTCAGACCGAAGTTCGAATCGTAACAATGGGTCTCGATGAATGGAATGAATGATTTTTTTGTTTTTGTTCTCCGTGATTATAGCTTAGTAGATACTTCTTTTTTTCTTTTTTTTTTTTTGGCTCCCGAAAGCATAATCATTGCAAGCTGGGACGGCGCCCGGCGGCAGTTACGTTACATCTTACAAGTCACTGGTGCTCCGCGGCGATGACGGGGCAGAATGCTTACAACTGACAAGTCACTGGCGCGCAGCGGCAGGCTGAGTGCCTCGATAGAGAGCCGTGTCCGTTCAATGTTCTACTCTCCTTCTCTCTCTCTCTCTCACACACACACACGCACACATGCACACACACACACACACACACAGTCTGGCACAGTTATGCTTTCTTTTTAGTTTCTGGCAATGTCATGTGGAAATGGCAGCATGCCGGGCGAGTCATGCAATGTAGAGAGGCTGGATTGTAAGTTGGAGGGTGTATGCCGGGCGAGGTCTCGCCAGCGAAGATAATCGGATACGAAGTCCGAATCGTTAGCCGGCAGCTATCACAGCGTTCGAAAAGATCCGTGTTGTGTGTTTTCTCGGCGTTGGTCTATGCTACTGTCTGCTGTATAACTCTCCAATTCGTGAGTGCACTCACTATCAGACACCGCCGTGACAGCACTACAGAACACGACCTCAAGTATAGCGTTTTGTCTGCCCAGTCTTTAGGCTCACTGTCCGTAATGGAGTTGGGTCTGTGGTGGTTGGAGGGAGGACCGTCCGTGTAACGACTTTTGCAGGCTGGAAATTGTACATAGCCGGATCCGTGTTTTGTAGGCGTCCGAATACGTCTTTTCTCGGCGTAGCTCTGTTATACTTGGTGTTTTGTAGGTGAATACGTGTTTTGTCACGGGGGTAGCTCTGTAAATATAACAGAGGCCATCTTCTGAGACGGGATCAGGATGAGCTGCGACCAGAGCTTCTGCAGCTCCTTGCCGCAGGGAGGTTGCAGGTGAGGGAAGGACCTTTCCGATTTCGCTGTAATCTCAGCAGTCCACGTTGCGGGATTGGCGTCGATGCTTCACTCCTTCGGTAAGCTTGTTGAGATTCCAAGTTGTTGTCTCCTCGTGTTTCCAGCCCTAGCTAGATTGATCCCTCCGCAGAACTGGCATGGCTGTGCCCCCTGCGGTAAGCTGAGCTTGATTGTCATAAGTGCCCTCATGTACTTGCACTTTCATCTCCTGCATAGAGTAGGTTCCATAGCTGGTACATTCCCCATCTTGAATCAGATCGGGGCAGCCTGGGCGCGGTCTTATGAACTTGACAAGTTTGCACAGAGCATCCCTCCCTACCAAGCATAGGAATTCCTCTGCTGATTTAGTATCTCTTTCCTCACAGCCTCAAGGGGAATCAGCTCAGCCCAATTTTTGGGGACTGATGAGATCAGTTCCAGGGCGGGTTCTGATGAGCAATCTCATGAGCAATCTCACAACCCGGCGTTTCATACCGAGAGATGCCCGATCAGAGTAATTCTGGGCGTGGCCAAGGATTTTAGGCAGGGATTGAATCACCCGGACGGAACGGAGGATTCTTGGGGGATTCTCGCTTTATTCCGGGGTTATTCCAAAAATTAGGGCCAACAGAGGGGCTTGATGGGGAATACAGGAGAGGGTCCGAAGGGTAAACACGGCCAACATGCAGGGTATGAACAAAATTCTGCTCTGTGGTGCCCAAGGAGAGATGCGCTTTTGTTAACAGAAAAAGAAAGGAAAAGGGAAGACGCGGAATCTACCGCTTCCCTCGTTCACGCGAACTCTATTGCAAGAACCCAAGAGATAAGGAGCCTCTAAGCTTTCGAGTCGCATTCATCAAGGCCGCACGCTCGGGTAAGCTCTGAGCGCTGTCGTCCAGTTGGGGCGGGGCCGTGGGAACCCAGGTTCGGGAGCCTTCCGGTAGAGGGCGCCTGTGCTGTGGGAGAGTTCTGGGAACCGGACAGAGCCTTCGTACCCTTAGCAAGAGCTGTTGCCAGGAACATGAGTCTCCCCTCTGACACCAGCGACAGTTAAACTGGGGCCGCCACGTGGTGTGCGCTGCCGACCAAGGTAGCTCTGTCCAATCAGTGAAAGGCAAGACCAAGGGCGGGGACAAAAATTGATCAATCACGACCCCCCCGGGCCCCTACATGGCAAGGCTTGGATGGGTTGTATGAATGAACCTGGCCGGTCCCCGGTTGTATAAATGAACCTGGCCGGTCCCCATCAACACGCTCTGCACATCGGCATCGCAGTGCACACCATCTTCGAATGCGATCGGGAAGGACGGAAGCGGGTTACGGTGGATTGATGAAAGGGTTTTGCACGGACAGTTCCCCGCGTCCACGTTTAACGTAGCACATCTCGACTCCATACAAGTCTAAATGAGTAGCGCCCCACTCCCTCCCACTTAAAATAGAATGCCAGTCCAGGGACACAGCGTCGTTGATCCTAGAATTGTCACTGTGGCAAAACGCGGATGGCCAGGTAGTAAAGAGAGAGGGCGGTGCGCTTAGACGCATGTGCCTGCTGTCTCTGGTTGCCAGCACTCAGCCTGATGGCACAGGACCAATTGACACGTGACACTCGTGCGCGAGAGGGGAGAGAGGGTACTACAGTCGGCAACAATTCCCGATGCTCACATGTCACGTAGGGAATCGACAAGGCTCGGGGAGAACAAGGGGAAACCATCACACATGCATAGAAGCAGACGTTTGATACCCAAGCACTGTCCAGGGTTGTGCCTTCGTACGCCTCACACCCCCATCCTCATTCCACATCCATACGTCTTGGTTTGGGAAGCATTGAACATTCATACACCCTATGCGCCTAAGTATCCACACTTAGTCTACTGCACACACAACACTTGGACAAAGCAGCAATGGAGAAAAGAGTGAGTCCCTTGCCATTCAAAATTCCACAAGCCAGCCTCTCTCAGGCACGGCCCCCAACCAACCCGAACGTCAACCAACCATAGCCTCAAGGCCCTGCCTCTGGTTACGTTCTATCTCCACCACCGCTCAGTCCCTCCGCACGCACGAACCCAGAAGTCTATCGCTAATCCCACGTTATGTCGTCACTCTACCCGTCACTTAGGCATGTCGAGCCTGTTCGACGCCTCTGTCTTTGCACATAGCTCGCACGACATTGCAGCCAAGATCAAAGAGGAGGAGAGGAAGGGGCTGCGGGGGAATTAATAGCGCGGAAGGCCGCGGGGTGCCAGCGTGTGGTGAGGGCAGCAAGGGGTGTAGTTGAGCAGGACAGAGGAAGAGAGGGGGGTTTAGAGGGATCGAAGGAGGGGAGGCGGTCGTCCAAGCCCCGCCCACAAGTTCTCTTCCGCGGGATTGATCTGCCCATCCAAATTAACGACCGATCGACTGCCCCGAAGGGTAAGGGGAGGATCGGGCGCAGAGTCGGGGGAAGAAGAAAGGACATGCAAGCTGTGTAGACCCCCGTACGAATACGGGCCGTACGTACGGGCTCATGTGGTCGTACGGGCCGTACGTACGGAAAAAAAAAACAGAAAAAGAAAAATTCAAAAAAAAAATTCAAAAAATAAATATGTTATGCAGAAAAATAAACTGAAACACTTTTGCCTCAGGGTCATATTGAAATTCGTTACAAATTTGAGATAAAAAACAACGTTTTTTTTTTTTTTTTTTTTTCCTCGTACGGGGCTGTACATACAGCCGTACGGCCGTACGATAAACCCCCCGTACGCCGTACGCAGTGTTACACAGCATGCAAGGAGAAGCGCTCAGCCGGAGAGGAAGATGGCGCACACATGCATAGCAGGAACCGAGCTTACGCGACATGCATGATTTCAAAAATGGCCACGCGCGCTTTGACACGAGAAAATTTTGAATGCCGACAACCATTATTCCTGAGTGCTTCTTGGATTTCTCCGCGCGGTTGCTAAATGTCTGCGAGG